GCAGTTAACACTTCCAGATATGAAATGCCTATCAATCATCATTGCCCAATGGAAAAAAATCCACACTGTTTCTTCAGAATTTCATTCTTAAAGCACTTAATGTAAAACAATTACAAGTATGTATATAAGGTCACATGTATTTTCATATTAATCACTGTGACCTTTGTTCTGTCTCTTGCACAGGTAACTGCACTGTGAGATGGGAGAATAAGACTATGTACTGTATTGTCAGTGCCTTTGGACTCGCAATATAGTTGCCTTGGAATCACTCATCCTTCTACTCTTTTCTACTTCAGCACTGCATTCCAGCCCGACTGAAGCTGTGAATACACTGAGCAACCTCTGTTTTTAATGTTATTTTTAAAGTAGCCTTTTTCAAATGTACAACTGTGAAAACATGCTGTTACATGGATTACGTTTGTACTTAGTATCATACACCAGTGTTGCCATGCTGTCTTAACCCTTTAAGGACTCTTCTTCAAGGTGCTAATACTGATACCTGCTGCAGTGTAAACACTTTCTCTCAATTTCTTAAGACCAATTTGATAAAGACACTGACTTTCACACTTTGGACTCTTGGTTAGCATTAAATTATTGAAATTCATAATCATTGGTGTGACTCTGGTAAACTTATTCTTCTGACCTTTCAAAACAAAACAGTTCTAATGCAATTTAATTATTTTCAGAGAAAAGTAACTACCAACTTTCAAGAAAGACAGAAAAATTTTGTGGGTGAAGTTCTGGGAACCATTTAATCTGGTTACATTATTATTATTATTTTATAATTCTATGTCCTGCCTTTTCAAGGAGAGGGATAGGATTATAATTCTATGTCCTGCCTTTTCAAGGAGAGGAATTTTTTTTTTTTACATTCTAGAAAGGCTTAGCAAACTATACTTAGTGCAGTAGTACATCATGAAGCAAAACCTTATCCAAACCTCCTTAAAGCAGCTCTGTGAACATGCTATGAATGGCAAAAATACTTGATAATCTGCCCTGCTGCTACTAATTAGTGCTACTAATACTGAGCACCTGCCTGATGCGAAAAGATTTCCCTGTAAGTCAAGCTGAAAGTGCCACAGCACTACACCAGGTTACTGAGTGGTACTTGGAACTTCTGCAGCAGAGGAAGTTTTAGCATGTTTTTTGTCTTGAAAAAATGAGTAATGTTCTCTGTCAGAAATAATATCTGGGGGGAGGGGGCAAGGGGGAAAAAAGAAACACTAAATCAAGCTGGATGAACATGCCTGAAATATTCAATAGGCAACAGTTAAGCTTATCATAAAGGGAAAAAAAAAAAAAAAAAAAAACCACTTTTGGATGGGTGTGCTGGTCTCCAGAAGAAAACTTAGGAATCTTTTTGGGGGTTTTTTTTTTTTTTTTAAAGCTTTTCCAACTGCTACAAGCAGCACCTTAGGGGAAAAAAATAATCAAATCCCTACCCAATTAAGCAACTTTAAATATGCATAAAGTAAAATACATGTAAGCTGAAAATACTGATGTGAGTTATGAAAGTGGCAAAGGATTGCAGGCATTTGCTAGAAGGAAGATAAAGCCAACATAAAGATATAAAACTTTATTATGACCATATTTAACAATGATTCTGCACATGAAGTCTTCAAAGAAACTTAGCATTCAACTTTTGCTTGAAATAAAATAGCTTTGCTTCATATTCCATATCAGAATTAAGTTCAACAACATAACATCATAATAATTTTGATAATTTACTGCCATTACACAGTTTCTAAACACGCAATATTCAACACATTCCCAATGCACACTTTTTCAAAGCAGCATTTTATTAACAGCTTCTCATTAAACAGAGCATTTATCTTACACATTTGATACCATTTTGGTACACAAGTTATCCATAGTTTAGCTTCATTTTACATATTTACAAACTTTAAAAAAGTTTTACAGTAATGCAAAAGTTATTACTGGCATAAGCAAAAAGAAGGGGGGGAAAAAAAACTGTGTCACCTATGGATACAAAGTTGTCATGACTCACAAAAAGACCAAAAGTCACCTAGCTAGAAACATCCGTTTTTCCCAGATCAGTTAATGGCTGTGTTGGACTAGCTGTTCCTTACTGATTTTGAGCCTTACACTTTCTATTCTTTAGTGATCTTAGCAAAGTTTCCAACACTTAAGTATTTTACAAAGCAAATACCACAGGAAAAGGTAATCATTTTCCTTAGAAGTCCCTCTTGGTCACTGTGAACATGCAACTATTGCACATATTTAATAAAGGCATCTTTTGGAGCAGTTACTCTGTATACTGTGGGGGCATTCTGCATACTTTCCCCATTTTATACAGTACCACGAGAGTTGGAAATACCAAATTAGTATTGACTAAATAAAAGGCAGATTAGCCTCTTATTCAGATCCCTTCCATCTCACCCTTAGGTCACTAGCAGAACACACATTATTCAGAAATGAATTATGCTGCCCACCTCCAAGCTGTTTACAATCTATATTGTATATTCCTCAAATACTGCATCTGCTTTCCAATTTTTGTTCACGGATGAGAAGAGTGAAATTGAAACTTCTTGCTAGGAAAATATTTCTCAATCTATCTGCTTCACTTCTTTTGCTTTTACCATATATTGCATGCCCTGGTTATTTGGCCAAGCTTAATGCTCTAACATTTCTGAAATGCAAAATAATTACTCGACCAAAACTGGTTAAATATAGTATCTAAAAAAAAAAAAAAAGATTGTACTGGAATACTTTTTGAAATGTACATTTCCCTTTTTCACCTATTTCCTTTCTGAATGTAGTGATATAGAAAGTTAATGCAGACAAAACAGCAGACACAATGGGCTGAGAGCTGCTTAGAAAAAAAAAATCTCAAGGTTAGATTTTCTTTAGTTAATGAGATCCCCAAACATGACACTGTATTTTTGGGTTTATTGTAACAATCAGCTCAGACTGTGATAAGAAACGCCAAATGAAGCATTTTATCAAAACAATTTAGAAGAAAGTCAGAGAGATCTGAATACATGAGAATCGTGCAGATCTTGATTTCCGAACCACCAATTGCTATGCCTACTTGGGAACGCTGGGCCACTCAGTTGGCTCTCAAGTCTGGCCACAGATTCAAACAGCTGTACGTCCCGTAACAGTCATCTGCGGAATTCTAAAAATGAGATTGGTTCTCCTCTTTTGGGATAAAAATATCATCTCTTATATTTATTAAAGAAAAAAGTCTACAGAAAATGGCAAGGGTGCAGCTTAATATAGTTCACCAAAAAAAAAAAAAATCCCAATCTCACTAACTCTATTTTTCCCATGTGTTGTTCTAAACTAGCACCTACTGCTTATGAAATTCAAGGAGAAAGCCTTCTCTCATTTCCAGCAATCTCTATCCATATGACAGTACTTTGGTTTCTACCACATAAACAATTCTTGCTAGGTAAGTTTTAACTTCCAAATATCCTTGAAAAATTTTCAAGGTTCTGTATTATTTCAGAAGCCTTTCACATACACACGCAGCTCATCACCGACTGAATCTGAGCTATCTTAGGACAGCAGGGATGCAGCTCTGTGGAGCATTTCCTTTGGTCTTCTGCAAGCAAGCTGCAATCCTGTGGAGTCTTCCCTTAATTACCTTGAGCAAGTACCAAGCCACTGTATGTAACTCCAGTGCAGTAACTGGAGGCATCTAGAACAGGCACAGCTTAAATGCAGAACAAATCTACACACATTTTTTTTTCTCCCAACATGATCCAGCAAATCTAGTAGGGCTTCACTACACTTATTCTTAAACTAGTTCAATTATGTGCACAATTTCCTAGCGCAAGCCCATATTGTCAAATCTTTTGTCATTGTTCCTTCATATGCTGTCATTGCTTTCTAGAGTCAGAGAGTTCAGAGAAATTTTACAAGAGCATATAGCAAGTATAAATCCATGAAAAGAGAGACTTTCAGACAGATCAAGTACAAAGCATACAAATCAATTAGAAATGAACAACATTCACTTAAATATAGAACTGAATAGTGGTGTGGGAGACTAGGAAAAAATATGAAATAGAGCAGCATTGTAGTGGGAACACTGAATTCCCATATAAACCTGTCCCAGCACATACTGGCATATAGATAGTCACAAAATGTACTAGTAAAACTATCTACCTGTGTTGGCAGCAGTGGTGGTATGCCTAAGGGAAAAGCAGCTTAAGTTGAGCTAGCTCAAAAGCGAATTCCTTCCAAGTTCAACACGGGAGTAGCTGTGACTGTCTCCAGAATGTAGATTAACTACCCTGTTAACACACAGCTATATGGAAAATCCTGATATAGAAAAATGAAATGAAATGTTTCATGTTTCAAATGAAATGTTAAGAAACAGTCAACTGTACCTCTCTATGAAACTGTATACTCTGCAAGTGTCAACAATCTTCTCCAGAATATGGAAGAGCCAGACTGACTAGTAGTGTGCTTCCTGCAGAGGTTTGCTACTGCCCAGGCAGTTTCCTCTGAAAGGGTTGTTGGGGATGGGGAACGCTTTTGTTGTGATGATAAATCAAGTTAAACCTATGCTACACAAAATATTTCACACAGCTCAGTCTATATTTTGGCTCACTAGAACTTGATCACTTGCATATATCTTGCACTTAAAACTCATCTGACAAATGCATTTAAACTAATTCAAAGGTTTGAAATTAATATTGCCTCTTCAAAGGAGAAATGGAAAGCCCGTGTTTTCTTGCATTTCTAAAAAATAATGGTAATAATAATTAAAACTAAAACTAAAGCAGTGCCACATTCTGAGCATTGGCACGTGACAAACACCAGGAAAGAGGCACTTAGTACAGCCATGGACCATACTTAAAGGAACCAGCACAGGTGCAAGAGATTGAAAACCCTGTGTAGTGTGTAATTAAAAAAAAAACAGCATGGAAGGAATTTTAAAATCAACATATAATCATTGACACTTCTAAACAGAAAAAGACTTAAAGATTTTAGTACACAGACATCCTCCTATCATTCATTTTCTTAGACTTGTAAAAAAAATTGGTTTCTTTAGTTTCCACCACAACCTTTTCAAGCATTCTTTTTTTTCAGTTTTAACTTTGTAAACAGAAATAGAAGCAAGATGTCGTTCCTGGCAGACAGCGTTCAGATGATGACAACAGGCTGTAAGAAAGCCAAGAAAATGGTTCTTCCAGGAAAACTTAAACAGTTGCCTTAATCCCAGATGAACGAGTCTGTCCGTGTCTAATCAATCACTGTCTGATTCTTCTTTATACTTGGCTCTAATAGCTTGTCCGTTCTGAAGTGGCATCTCTTCATAGTCACTCCTGTGAAAGAGAGCTTTTTTGAAAGATCTGAACACAGTGATCAGTTAGGCTAAAATAATCAGGAAAGCTCTAAGAAAACCTAAATAATTTGCTGGCCCAGGGTAAGAACACTGTGTTTGTTTTGCTTCCTTGCTAGGGATACCAACAACCCAGTGACTGCTCTCCAGAGGAAGATTCGAGGGAAAAGTTATTTCAGGAGCTCCAAGCCACAACTGACAAGTAGCAGGGGCTTCTTTACATTAGAAGCAAGCTGGTACTACCACTACTCCAACTAAGCAAAGGAAACTTATCTCAGACAATTAATAGAGCTACTCTATGCACAAACTTAACCAGGTCACTTGAGTATTATCCCTGTTCTCAGTGTTTCAGTCCCTTCAGTATCCTCAGGTAACAGGTGAAGCCACCAAAATAAGTTTGTTCAGTCTTTAGCACAGAGAGACCTGATCTGGATGGAGTTTTAAGTTCTTTTATTACAAATTCATACACAAATCCAGTAGCTTTTGCTAGATTTGACTATTCCTGTTTCAGTACGTGACAGGCACTTAAGAAGAGCCATCACCCTTCTCTGCGGCAACGACTGTTTTATCCATGATCTGCTCTTTTGCTGACTCGCACCTGACTCCTGCAGTACTTGCTGATTTAAAAGCAAGTCCTCCCCTTTCACATCTGCTGCTGCCTTCGCTCTGTGTCCTGCCAGTATCCTGGTATTTACCTACCTGTTTGTATCAGTGCTATGCCAACCCTTTTTGGAAACCACAAAAGAAAAAAAAAACAGCGTGCATTCTCATTTCATTTCTGTTCCAGAACAAGGCTATGCTTTTGTTTTTTAGGCTTTACTTTTACTAACAGTCTATAAAGCCCTCAGTTTTTTAATGAATATGGAGAAAAACATCACAAAACCAACATGCTAGAAGTAACTCTACACAGGTATTTTGTAGTCTTACCCATAAATTACATCATCATCTGAATCATTCAACATAGAAAAAGCAGGATTGTCTTTCAATTGTGATTCTGGAAAAAAAGAAATAAGGATTAATTTAGCCCATTATATTTATAAATCTAATATTTCTAGGACAAAGCCAAAATAACAGACTCAACAGCTTCCAAGAGGTTTGTGACTATGATCCAACATCCAAGCTACAATTCTCTCCTTTAAACTCCTCACTCTTTGTCCACAACACAATGGGGCTCTTAAGGGCGAAGGAGATAACCTAACTCTTTGTATTTTCAGGCAGATATGTTTCAGGCTATATAAGAAAATTTCCTCCTGTATGCATTTTTTTTTTTAATACCTGTATTATTTCTACCTGCACTTCAGAATATGAAGTCAAGGTATCCTTATTTGATAAGTGCAGACTTCATGATTCCTGTAATTATTTCTAAACTACAAAAATAATAGATCAAAGTTGTATGCAGGTTACTGATGAGCCAATTACTTCTCATCTGAAGAAAGGACTTGTAACTCAATGACAAGATGAAAGAAACCACATATTGTCCACTGGAAGCTTATAACAATTCCCTTTGCCTTGCTATAAGGCCTTTACTCCTGGAATAATCTGTTGCATAATTGTACACAAGTAAATATGATTCAGTAATTTGCCACAAATATCTTTTTTACTAGCTGCTTTTTATTTCTAATCTACTATGTACTAATATGTCTTTCAATCCCACTACATTTTTTTATTTGTTCGTTTTTAATTTATCCTCATCCAGTCATTTGTCTCACCTTTCCTAATGGAAAAATAACATCACTCTGTAATAGTTTCATCCAAGTCAATTTTAGAAAGCTTCAAGTAACCAGTTCAACAATTTAGTGCCTTTCTCCTGCAAACTCTCCAATATATTTTGGTTATAGTCTTTGGTTTTCATGGTTAAAGTAGAAGACAGACTCAGTATGAACACTTATTTTAGAGAATCTTTATCTATAAAAGAATAGCACCATATAAACAGCACAGGTAAGATTTTACTTAAACCCAAGTGCCACAATTTCATCCCTTTATCTTCCTCTCCCCATAGAGCTTCCCAAAATTCCCCACGGATGACTATGTGCTCCCTTTCGCTCTCTCTTCATATCGGAGAGCATCTCCATTCCTATTTTTCCATCTCTGTATTATCTATCTCAGAGCCAAGTCTGTCAATCAATACCAATAAATTAACCTTATTGTTAGAATATTGTTGGTACATTTGTAGAGTGAATGTGTAGAGTGTACGAATAATGTGTATTGTTACTCGTTAAGGGTTGTCTGAAAGCCATTTCAAAAGCTGCAGTATTATATACAATCATCACACGGACTGCAAGCTTGGTCGGAGGAGAGCGTAAGAATTCTAGTATAGCTGAGTAGTTGTATATGTGCTATGTGTTATCTCAAATATCCAACCCTAAAGTGCTCAGCAGCAGGGCACCTTGTCCTTTACGTTAATACAACGCATACTGAAAGAGTAAGATGACAACCAAACTCTGAGGATGTTGCACACTGTCTGCTAGCATGTCAGATCTTATCATGTGAGTGAGCTTAAACTTACCATATAGCGCATTCTTTGAGGGGGAATACACAAAGGCTAATGTGTAGAGATAAAAGTTCAATAAACCATAAAATGATAAGAATTCTGCTGGTAGTAAGTGTCAAGGATATTGCTCAATATAGCTCCACATATATTAACTTTGAAAACAAGACATAAAACTTGAAGCAAGACATAAAACATAGATAAGCTGTTTCTATGGAAAGATGTTAGTTAAAGCCTGAGAACATGAATAGCTAAACAATATTGTATTTTCTAAATGGAACAGTAATTAATGAGGCCAAGCCATTCTGAGGTAAAGCTCACACTGAAGACAAAGCTTTAATTTTACTGTAAGTATTATCTGCTGAGATAAGGTCTACTCTTGGTAGAGTGCATGCAAAATTAAACATTTTTGTCTCAATTGCTGAAAGAAAGCTGAGCTAGTAAGAAGTTGTCTTTTTATTTGATTAAAAATTTTTTTGATTGGCATAGCAGTTGAAAAGGAAGAGGAAAGGACTATCTAGGGATAGAATTCTAAAGATGGGGTCTTGCCTTCATTCTGGGAAAGTCCTAAGAGTTTTACATACATATCTAAACTTACCACTTTCAGTAATTTCTGAACTAATAGCTTCAAGTATTTGGTATTCATGTCAGTCGATAGGTATATTACAAACTGAAGTCAGGCAGTAATCAAATAAAGAAAGTTTTTTCACTGTAACTTGTTAAAGTGATTTGAATGTAGGCACATGTAGGCCATCATTCCTTTAAACGATTATCAATTGCAGCTATGATGTCAGCACCATTAGGCTGAAACTGTCTCAGCTGATAATCCTTAAGAATAGCCAGTACAAAATGACAATGTGAAATTCAATCAGAAGGAACTGGACTTCAAAAGTCCACGTAGAAAGCAAAGGTCTCAGTCCCTAGAAGCACCATCTTTAATGACAGTCTTAAAAAAAAAAAAAAAAAAAAAAAAAGCTAACAAGTTAACACTGCTCACTAAGCAGTATCACAACACAAGGATATAATTCTGATAATGAGTCGACAGTTCAGCAACAAAGTTGTCCTGTAGAACGTGGGCTCCGAAGCGTAGATAGAGTATGACAATGCTGTGGAAAACAATTAAAGAGACAGTATGCCCGTATGCTTTAAATTGCAACACTGAAATAGAAGTTTAATAGAGTAATATATGGTGAAGCAATCATGTTAACATGGCATATATTAAATTTTAACGTACATTTGTTTTCATAGTTCTAAATTATGACTTTTTTATTATTAAGAATCAGTAATCAACTGATTAAAGGGAAAGAAACACAGTTTACTTCTCTCAGATTTCAACCACAGCAGATAATCCAAGAGACAACAGCAATTTGAAATAACGGCTTGGAGAAGGCGAGACAAACAGTAACTATAATCCAGAAATCTTATTGTAAGATTCTGCTAGGAAGTTTAGAAGGCTCCAAAGAAAGTGAATAGTACATGGCAGAGCACTCCACTGCTTAGCGAACACTCCTAATATTGGTCATGGATTTAATATAAAACTAGAAGTAAAAGCCTCAGAACTGATTTAAAAATTAAGAAACGTTCTCCATAATTCTCACACTAAGAAACCATTCCTGACTTGCACTGACAGTTTTATTTTAAACAAAATGTATTCAAAGCCCTGACAAGTTATAAAAACTATTAAAAACTATATTCTCAGAAACATACTTTGAGTCCTCTTACCTAATGACAAGCACCACAAAGGTTAACGCAGTCAGGAATTTTAACCTGAGATCTGAAAATCATAAAAAAAAAAAAAAGAGAGAAAAAAAAGATGAGAAAGGTTGTTTTTGAGAGTTTGCATGTATATCTCTAAGAAAGAAAACCCTGTTTGGAGTAGAATCAAAGGAAATACTCCTTACCAACATAAGGCATGTTACGAAGTTCTGAACATGCCCTCACTATCAGGAACAAAAGGTAGAGAATGTATGTGGTTGCCACCACAAGGAAGAAGATTTTCATTCCCTATGAAAAGAATATTTTTTTTTATTACTTAACAAGATTTGACCTATTCCTTCTTTCTTCATAGTAGCCTAGCAATAGAAATCATTATTTCCCAAGCACAATATGAAATTTTCTTCAGGGAAACTAGGCCCATGAAAGGAACTAAAAAATAAGGATAGTTTTGGTTTTAGAGGAACAGGGAATGTGAAGAAAGGATGTTTAATAGCAAAGGTCACTTTGGTCACTGACTTCACAATGAGCTGAATCTCAGCATTTATCTAAAAACATAGCTCCTGAGACAATACATGAATTGTATGAATCAGATCTTCAACAAGAAAAGCAGAAATTTACAAGACAGGATCTTGGCAAGAATAAAGATGCACAAAATCAACCTATCAAGAGGCCTAAAAAATTGCCTTTTAATCCCAAAAGTCATGAATCCACAACTATAGTTAAGCTGTCGAGTGTCCAGATGCCCAAGGTTATTGGAAGGCCATTTATCGTTCTCACTGGAACAGAGCTCAGTAAGTCACACTTACTGTGCGCCATGTAAAACAAACAGGAACATTTCAAGCATCTTCATCACAATAAGAGCACCCAGCCAGCACTAGTACACTCTGGAATGAGCTTTGTATTTTAACAGAAGAACAAAACATTCTTCCTTGTATTATCTAACTACATACAGCTTAATACAGGAAATCATTTCTGACCTACCTGGAAATTACCTGTGTCAACCCTGTATTGGTATGTAGGATCATGTACTTCATTAACACTAGAAAAGATTTAAAATGAAAAAGTTGTACTGACAGCATTATAAAAGACAAGGTCAAAAAAAATGGTACTGGTCAGGAAACCCACTAAGAAAGAAGAGGTTTCATATTATTATATGAAGTTTATAACTAAAGGTTTTGGCTGTGTAAACTGGTGCAATGCCATTAATTCCAACAGAGCCATGACAATGCACTGTTGACATGACATCCTCCTCCTCAAATCTCACTTTTCAAAGAACACAGAGGATTTGGGTTGTCAGCAGCATTTGACTCCCTACTTACTTTTTAGAAATCATATAATCTTATAAATTCCTACTAGCCTTTAGGATTCAGTGTTTAACGTTGATCCTTGGCGATAAGCATTATCCTTAAGCAAAAACTGCAGTATAAGCCCTTTCCTCATACCAATTCTGCTGGTGGGACATTAGCACCAGAATTTCCTGCAACTGCACTGGCTTTCAACGATGAACAGTGGCATGGAGAAGGTTAGGAGATTTGTTCCTTTGAAGAAATAAAATAAAAGGCAAACAGTTGAGACTAGCATTGTTTCAAAATGTACAAATGTACCAAAATTAAAGCAGTTTTCTGGATCGAAAATATTGCCTCCTTTATGTTAACACATCAGACTGCAAGAGGATAGAAAAAAAGTAAAATAGAACTATTGTTCTATTGAGGAGAAATAACATAGTTTGGCTAACCAGTATCAATACAAACACACAGAGTGAATGGCTGAGAAAGCTTCTCAAACTGTGTAATAATTAACGGCAGAGAAACTGCTGCTTGGAGCACTAAAAGCTAATTGGGACGTAGAGCTGGAGGGTGTATTATAGGGAGCCAGAACGTACTGATAAAAGTGTTGTTTTCTATCTCTCACTCTGATTTATAGCATTAGGTATTACTAAATCATCCATGGAGAATTCTGTTTTCAGGTCAGTCACAATTTGCAAAATGGAAAGAGCACTCGAGCACTCTAACTTATCCATTAACGTGAGCACCCTAACTTATCCGTTCCTAAATTGCAACCAACACATGAAGAGACGCATACTACTAATTACAAAAAAAATGCTCTAATTCTTGGACACTTTCAGCTTATTACGTTTGTAATATATTTTAAATTACTTACGTTTGCCATATTCCTAATGTAACAGAAGCCAGCCACAATAGACCAACAATTAAGAATTTGGGCAGATAGAAAGTCAAGCACTTCCTTTCTCCCTGTTAAGACAACAGAAAAGCAGTTAAGGAATGAACCTGCATTTGACATCTGGTTTGTTCTTGACACACTGAAATACTACTTCCTTTGTTTCTTTTTTCAATTGACTAGAGACTTGCCCTCTATATTTTCAACATGGTTACAGAATACATGAGACTGTCCTCATTTGTGTTAAATTTAAGAGACAGTAGATTTCAGGCATTCTATCAGAAGGTCTTGCCTATTTCATTGATACTGTAGCTATAGGACCATGTTCCAGAATTCCTATTTTTCTTACGCAATATTTGCTTTTTAAACCATTTAAAAATAACTACTACATACAGCAACAAAATTATTTAAACAAGAATAAAGCATAAGGGCACCTTTATTCCACATTATGTCTTGCAGTAGCTGAGAGTGATCTGTCCCACCTATCTCATTCAGGCATAGTAGTGCCAAGACAATCTATTCCACTATGGATCATTTTAATTCCAAAACCTCATACGTCCTATTGTGTTTTAAGGATAGAGTAAGTGTCACCTTTTCTTTTTAACTGTGTCACTTTTTGAGAAAAATGAAAAACAAGTACCATCTTCCCAGCAAATACTAGTTAGCTACTATTAGACCCCTACCTGCACTCTTATTCCATGGTATACACAAAGCCAGAAGAGCAGCAACGCACACAGGAACAGTGACTGGAATAGATCATCTAGCATTCCAGGAAACCAGCTGTTGACCAAAAAAGAAAGGGGGAAAAATGGATCTGTAACGAAACAAGAGAAATAGTTTTAATGGGAGGGAAAAAAGCAATTTTTTTCATTATAAAGTAAAGAAAAATCTACCTTCAGAAAAATAACCAGGTACATTACACTAGTAAGTGAAACTGAAGTTTGCTGTATTTTTAAGCAATTTATGGAGGAAATGAGGCCTCCCAGCAGCAATCTTCTGTGTTACAGAAATTCTCTAAAATGGTTGCCAAGGTTTCTAGAAGAGCATATGTTTTATCAGATCTTCTGCTAAATTCCTCTTCTTGGCTACGACCTAAAAAAGTTACCATAGTATGACTCAAAACCAAACATTATTTTAATACTGCTAAACAGTGCTAGACTTTGATGTGGTTTACAAAGCAGACTAAAAGCAGTTTCCATTTTTAACTAAAACATTAGCATCTGAAAAATGAAGTAGTAATGTTTATAAGGTAAACGCAGCAACTGCATCTACATGTCACTGTACAAAAGTTCCAGTATGGCTGCAGCCACTTACTACACTCAATAGTTTCAAAAAAACAGAGTTGACATTTTGATCACTACTGAGAATGAAATCCACCTAATATTGTGTCTTTGAATTTGCATGTTGGATTTTTTTTTTAGTTGAGTTTTCTGAAGTTTTATGAACAACTGCTTATAAGTTGAAGGCCAAGTTACCATAAAAATGAAAAAAAACAAATAAAGATCATAAAATACTATAAAGGACCTTCCATAAAAATGCTAGGATACAAGTACCATTGTAAAGTAGCAGGAGGGGAAGAAGGATAGACATCCATTTCTGTTCAATACCCCAGTCTCTCATGGAAAATTTTCGCAGAGAATGTGCAAACAGACACTATAAAACAAAGAAAGAAACAAAAACTAATTTATAAAGGAAGGAAAACAGTCTTAATGGTTTTAATCAGAATAAAGAAATACGACAGTATATTGAAAACACCAAGAGGATTTTGGTACTAAGGACACTGTAAAACAGGAGCCATGTATTTAAACTCCTATTTCTGCTCCCATTTTGCTGGCTTGCACCATGTAAATTACTTATTCTCTCAGAAAACTTCAGAAGGGAACCAGTTACTACTACACATATCAGCACTGTGTGAAAAAAAAATGCTGCCTAATTGCTGCTCACTCACCATCAGCTACTCCTGCCCAAACTGACCCACAAAAAAACACCCAGAGTCCATAATGCAATCACAGTTTCTTGATATGAGTGAGATCACATTTGTGAGAAAAATACCATGCAATTGCAAAGTGCTCTAACTGCTTTATTCTGAAATTCTCTATTTTCCATAATGATTGTTTTTCCAAAATACTTTTTCTATGGGCAAAACAAAGCCAGAAATGATAGATGGTCTTAATCACAGAGTAATTTAGGTTGGAAGG